TAATTCTATAGTAATACCAGCCAACACCAACAAAATAATTCTATAGTAATACCAGCCAACACCAACATAACACTTCTATAGCAACACCAGCCAACAACAACACGACACTTCTACAGCAATACCAGTGAACACCAACACAACACTTCTATAGCAATACCAGTAAACACTAACAAAACACTCCTATAGCAATACCAGTCAACACCAACACAACACTTCTATAGCAATACCAATCAACACCAAAAAAACAAAAACAATTCTATAGCAATACCAGCCAACACCAACAAAACACTTTTATATCAATACCAGTAAACACTAACAAAACACTCCTATAGCAATACCAGTCAACACCAACAAAACAATTCCATAGCAATACCTGTTATCAACAACACAACACTTTTATAGCAGTACCAGTCAACACTAACACCACAATTTTATAGCAATACCAGTCAACACAAGACTTTTACAGCAATACCAGTCAACAACAAAACACCCTATAGCAATACCAGTCAACGCCAACAAAACACTTTTATATCAATATCAGAAACACTAACAAAACACTTCTATAGCAATACCAGCCAACACCAAAAAAACAATTCTATAGCAATACCAGCCAACACCAACACAACATTTTAAACACAGCTATTGCTACCATTTCGTAATTCTATTAGGAGGTTTACCTTATCTACATTTTTTGCCAATAATCGTTGTTGTTGTGGAGCGATTTTGATAATTTTTGGTTTAAAATGTTTTATTTGACTAGAGTTTTCACCTTTACAATGGGCATTTTTGGTGTATGATGTATATTAATAAAGGTTTCGAAGGACACAATTTTGACTGTCCTCATTGATATCGTTAAAGAGTATGCCCATGAAGCCTCATTCCACACCACTAGCAATCATTTTTCCATACCTCACCATTGATTGCTCAAGGAAGATGTGAATTGCCAGACATTTTCCCAAAGTTGAAACCTCTGTACTGCACTACCTCCAGGGCATATGTGGCAAATATACTTTAAAAGATTGAGCGGTGGATAAAAAGACTAAGAAAACTAACCCTCATATTCGTTGATCATCGTGACTGTGTTACTCTATATCCTGAATCATTACAATATCACCTTTATTGGATCATTCTGACTTAGTCACGTTCTCCAGAAACATTACAGACATAACCACATATATTGGATCATTCTGACTCTCTAACGTTATCCATAACCATTGCATACAACACTACATTTATTGGATCATCCTGATTTTGTCACGTTATCCAGAACGGTTACAGACAACACCACATCCTGACTTTGTCACGTTATCCAGAACGTTACAGACAGCACCACATATATGTTCCTGTTGTTATCATTCTGACTTTGTTACGTTATCCAGAAGCATTAAAGACAACACCACATTAATTGGACCAATCTGACTTTGTCACGTTATCCAGAACGTTACGGACAACAGCATATTTATTGGATCATCCTGACTTTGTCACGTTATCTTGAACCGCTACAGACAACACCACATTTATTGGATCATTCTGACTTTGTCATGTTATCTTGAACCGCTACGTTATTCGTCGAATTAAATACAAGGAAAAAAAGTTTTTGTTGTTTTGTTGTGTGTGTGTGTGTGTGTATTTGAATACGTTCATTTTTGTACTTTTATCTGAAATTAAACACTATGGCTTTGAATGGAGAAACGTAGATAAATCGGGTTCTCATTATATATGTAGCCTTATTAAGTTTCGTTGGGTGGCATTCATTACTCTGCTGAAGAGACTCGAACCTGTAGTTTTCAGTTTTTTATATTAGCTGCCCCTCAAGGTATTATGTTTCATTTTGAAGCGAAACTTTTCACACTTCAGAAGGCATAACATCATCAAATTGTAAACATATTTCAGGATGTTAAACATGTTAGTGACAAGGTTGGAATTCCTGTCTCCTCTGGTTACTCCTGTCATACTTGCCATCTTAAATTTCGCCGCGAGACTACTGAAGCGTTGCTGTTGAGTGATTCAAAACGCAGACAGAAGACTGTTTTTAAACCAGTTCGACGTGTTTATACTTTATAACAATGTCCACTTTAATGTATTAAATAAATACTTATTAATACCACATGAGCGCCACAGCAAATGTTCGATTACGTTGGAATTGACAGTTATTGTTATAGAATTGTTTTGTTGGTGTTAGCTGGTATTGCTATAGAATTGTTTTGTTGGTGTTGACTGGTGTTGCTATAGAAGTATTATGTTGGCTGGTATTGCTATAGAATTACTTCACCGGTAATTGACAAAACTGATTTACTTCACTGTCTAGTTTGGCTCGTTATTATACTTTTGAAACATGACACAAAAATATTATGACAGTGTTGTAATTTATTTCTCAAACGCACAGATGGGCCTGGCATCGCCTGATGGTTAGGGAACTCGACTCGCATTCCGAGTGTCTCGGGTTCGAATCCCCTTCACCGAACATGCTTGCTCTTTCAGCCATGAGGGCGTTATAATATGACAGTCAAACCCACTATTTCTTGGTAAAAGAGTAGCCCAAGCGTTAGGCGGTGGGAAGTGTTGACTAGCTGCCTTCCTTCTAGTCTTAATACTGCTAGAGGAAAAGAACTGAAAATTACCTGAAATACAAAACGGTTTCTGGAAGTCTCGACAAACGACTGACACCCAGTCAGACTAACAGAAAACAATCATCGACAGTTTTAATAGACACGAATGCTTTCTCGATATAGAGAAAACATTCGTTACTTGTATGGCACAATGATCTCAGGTTTCGAAGGTATCAAATAGATCTAGCGCGAGGCATTATTCGCTGGCTATCTAACTTTTTGGACAATGGAAAATGTAGGATTAATGTGGGAGGTACCTACTCGGAATACTTTACTCCAGAGACAGGTGCCCCCCAGGGAGGG